CCCCCCCAAGCAACAAGAATACAGAGCATCACTTGCCCCAGCCTGAGAGTTCTTGTCTATACCTTGTGGCTAATAGCCACTGATGGACTTCTGCTCCATATGCTTATCTAATTCCGTCTTGAAGCTGTCCATGCTTGTAGCCGCCACCACCTCCTGTGGCAGTGAATTCCATGTGTTAATCACTCTTTGGGTGAAGAAGATTCTTCATCATAGCAGCAGAAAATTATATCTTACTTCTCAAGGGGTTCTGTACCAAACCATATGAGTTTCAGTATCCTTTCTCTGAAGAACCATGTAGCAAACTGCTGATTCAAAACATTAGATCGAACTGGTGCCATAATGTAGTTTTTTAAAAATTCAGTTTGAATAATGAGTTCTTAAGGGCCTCAGAAAGAAGCTGTTTCTGAAGCAACAGCTGAACTTTATTTATTAATTTATTACTTTCAATTTATATCCCGCCTATGGCGGGGCAAACTGGCTCAAGGCGGCGTACACAGGTAAAATGCGATAAAACAATAAATACAATAAAATTCACATAAACAACAATTTACATAAAGTGCTAATAATACTGTTAACGGCGGTGACTATACATGGTCCAATGAAGAGAGGCAATATCCAACGATGAATGTAGTATGTTCAGTTTCCGATGTCTCATTCATCAGTGGCGGCTCCTATTTGAAGGCCTGGTGGAAGAGCTCCGTTTTACAGGCCCTGCGGAACTGTAAAAGGTCCCACAGGGCCCTTATGTCCTCCCTCTGGCCAGGGAGAGTCAGTGTTCTCTGGGGCACATATGGATTATTTTATTTATGGATATTATGAAGTGAACCTAAAAAAGGGACTGATTTGGCATGAATTTTATCGACAATACATAGACTTTGGTGTCTAAGGAGTTTTCTAAGATCTAAGAATAGTATGTACTGAAAATCAGCTTCACTGTTTTTAGATACTTTAATCACAATGTCTTTTGTGTTTTCCAATTATTATTAAAAATCTATAAATACAATGGGTTGGATCCAAATTGCCATGAGTGGAGCCAGGTTCACAGAACAGGACTTTCCCACCTCTCCCTCCTTCTGCAGTCCATGAAACACCCTTAAACTCTGCTCCCAGGGGTTAGGAGACTCCCCAAAGGAGCACGAGGGTGTGATTTTAATTATTTTATGTTTTGTGGTTTTATCTTGTACATTGTGAGCCACCTTGAGCAGGTCTCTGAAGAGGTGACATATAAATATTTTAAATAAATAACCGTGGATCCACAGCAGGAAGGAAATGGGCAAAAATCATACATACATTCTCCACTAAAGGAAATTAAATTCTGCTAGTGTAAGTATCATTCTCTCAGCAATGAAACTCCTTGGGATCCAACCCATTGTTTCTAAGAAAGAAAACAATGTTCTGTTTAGACTTGAAAATCTGTCTGTCTCCTAGTTAACGGCGCTTGGGGCTCTTGGCTTCCTTGGGGACCTTGCAGTGAGACATGTGGCAAAGGTACTCATACCAGACTAAGATTATGCAATAACCCACCTCCATCACTTGATGGCTCTTCCTGTGATGGACCTGATTCACAGATGCAGGTTTGCAGTGAGCAAGACTGTCCTGGTAAGTTGCAAATTTCATGCATTGTTTATTTCTAGCACTCTGATTTTTCAAGAAAGAGTCTTCGGTTCATTTTAAAAGACTGTATAATATAAGGACATCCGTCCTCCGCTTTAAAGCACAGAAGGTTGTAAAGAAGACATACTCTCCTCACCTTCCATGCGTATGCTTCCTACCATTAATGCACACATCCCATTGACAAGCCTCCTGTGCACAGAGATCTGTGTTCACAGAAGGGCTGCAAATGCTCAGTGGATCAGGCTGTTATATTTGTATGCAGTAGCACACCAACATCATACTTCAGATTAAAAAGAAAGGAAAATGGTTTGCTTTTGCTTAGAGAGGAACAGGTTTTCCATAAACTATGAAGTATACTACCTGGAACAATCAAGTTTTTGAAAGTTCCTTCCTTTTATTTATAAAATCTGTGCTGATAGTATCTCAGGAAACCAAGTTAGGACCTTAACTATATAACCATATGCAAATTTTACAGATCTTTATCTCTTTTACTACTGCATCACTGCCTATGATTAAAGACAGGAGGATAAAATAATCAAAACATGTAACCCCTAAATTAAATGAAAAATTTCCTCCCCATTTGCTCAAAGAATTCTTGCTCAAAGCAAGAAAATAACGAGCAGCACCAGTCACAGGAGATTAAACAACAGGGCCAAGGCTGATGGTGCAAAATCAGGTAAAAATATGTTTTATTACTCAGTTAAATTTCCAAAAATTCCCCTTGTGTTTCGCCAACAGGCTTCATCAGGGGAATGCATCTTGCAGTAGTTCTTCAAAAAGAGTAAAGCAAGACAGCCTTTAAAGTAAGACAGCTCAGAACAGCACCTCCCAGCCACACAGCTGTTTTTCGGGCTGTCTTCCGTGACTGCACAAGACAGCCCAAAACAGCTGAGTGGTGAGGAGCATTTCCCCACCACACAGCTGTTTTTCAGGCTTCCTACAAACCCCGTTGAAAGGGACTGTGGTTTGGGGGCCATGAACTACAAACTGGTTCAGTTCACGAACATACCTCCTGGTTCAGTTTGTGGTTCAGTTGTTGTTGGCCACAAACTGAACTGCATTTCCCCAGTTTGTGCCCTTCCCTAGCTGTATTTTCCATACATTTCAAAAATTGTATAGTTCAGAAAAGCTCTAACTTGTGATTCTGCTGAATGCATAAATAGGTCCTAAAGAGCTGACTGTAACCTAGGTGTTTTTCAGCTCAAAGTGATTCTTTTACTACCATTGTGAGCTCTTCCTGAGAGTGTTATTTCACTGTTTGTATATGTATAGTATCTGTGCATGTACATTAGTGTAGAATACCCAGAGACATGTGCATCTGGTTCACCCATGCTTTTAATTGACTGATAACTTGCTTGTGTGAATAACCCATCATCAACCAAACACACGGATGGAGCTTTCATGTCTTCCAATGAAACTTCAAATGTAATAAGTTTCAGTAGAATCACTTTATGCTTTCAGCAGCAAGCAGCAAGTCCTCAGTAACTGACTTTTTTGTTGCTATTTTTTCCATTTTAGCTTATTTTACTAGTAGAATAAAATCAATAGAATCTTTTTTATATTTTACATTATATTGTTTTTAGGCAGTTGTACAGAAAAGTAACTAATGTAAATAAACAAATATTAAACCAATAATGTAATAATGAAGAAATCAATTGCCATACATTCATGCAGAAACCATCCCTTAGATGTTGACCTTGCATAGGTAGCTATTCTCCTCCATTTTATCCTCATAGTAGGTACTCTGTAGGTTAGCCTGAGAGCATGTGACTGCTCCAAGGTCACCCAACAAGCTTCTATCAGAGTGGGGATTCAAACCCAGATCTCCCTAGGCTGAATTGGACATTCTAACCACTACACTACATTGGCTCTCATTATTCTTGCAGTCCAGTGTAATTATATAGAGTACAGATAGAGCTAATGTTCTAGTGGTGGAAAGGGAGGTGGGTTTGATGGGTAGTAACCATGCAAGTTTGTAAAAGATATACTCTTTATCCAGTGAATGGAAAATGGGCTCCATGGTCCAGCTGGACTGCCTGTACAGTATCCTGTGGAAGTGGCACTCGACAGAGAACAAGAGACTGCTCCGATCCACTTCCACAGTATGGCGGACACAAATGTGAAGGAAATGACATACAGATAGACTTTTGTAACAGTGACTTGTGCCCTGGTAAGTACTTTTAGGTTCAGAGCCAATGAATTGCGGAGGAGGTTTACAAAGCAGAGACACCTATTGGTCTTTACCTGGTGCCAGACAGAAGCCAAATCAAATGATAGCGCCCATGCTGTATTTTTGGGGATTAGAACACTAATTTCTAGAAGGTTCTCTGCTAACCTATTTCCAGTTGTTAAATCAGTTACAGAAATGGCACTCAAATATGTTTCATTAATATGCACACACCCAAGAGTTAGTTTATATTGCAATGTTTTATAACATGGCTGAACTGAAAGGGGGAAGAGTGGGGCTGCATACAGTTCTCAGAGGAAAGATGCTGATTGGTCAGAGCATTCCCTTTCTATGGCAGTGGCTATCATAAGCTCACATAACTCCTACTTTTATCAGCGAAATCTTTCCATAGTGTATTGCAGTAACATTATTCAGTTTAACCCCAGAAATACTTTCTGTCAGTATTGCAGTTGTGGACAGAGGAGTCTATCCACATCATTCATCTACAAAAGGGGTTTACATACAAAAGCCACATGGCTTACATACAAAAGGAGCAAGGCTACATGCAATATGAAAAGCATCTTAAATTTCCCACCCTGATGTAAAGCACATATGAACTGGAGTACAAAGCAATATGTCTTCCATAACATACATATTTTCTTTTGCAAGGGGCAAAATTATTCATTTGGACTTTCCAGTGTCTGTTGTGTCCTCAGGCAGTAAATATTACTTATTCAAAATGTTCTGTTTCAAGTTCACGGTAACTGGGGTCCCTGGAGCAATTGGGGAACTTGCAGCCGAACATGTAATGGTGGTCAGATGAGGAGATACCGGACTTGTGACAATCCTCGTCCATTCAATGGAGGGAGAGCCTGCATGGGTGCTGATACACAGATACAGAGATGTAATATAGAGCTATGTCCTGGTAAGTTACCATGATACATATAGGGCTACTACATGCATACATGTGAAGCAATAAACATTAACAATTTACGATGATAAGCAAAATAGCAGACCCTTCAGAGAAAGTCCTCTTTAACTCTTTGTAGGCACCATCAGGCCTGATAGATCTTAAATGTTAAGGTCTCTACCATTGGGTTATTATCCTTTTGTGGCCCAAACTGCATGATCACAGACCTATGTCTTCAAATGTGGAACAGTCCCAGTTATGTCTAAATGTCACATGACTGGAAAAGGAGCCAGAGTTTCTGAATCTCCCAGTGTTATATTTTCTCTAATGCTGAGTAGCATCATTTTGCCATTCTGCTGCTGCTTTCAATGAGTGTGCAAAGAGAGGTGGAATATATAGCACCCTTGCTCCATGCAACCGGTGTCTTAGCAGCAGGTACTAAGTGGCAACTCTATAGAAGCTTGTCACCCAGTAAATGGGACACGCTGTGACTGACCTGAGGGTCTAGACCCATTTCAGCAGCCCATCTCCCTCTAATACCTGTTGTTAGCAATGGGGATTCCAGTTTTAGCCCAAAGTTACCTATAACATTTAGATGATACCTATACATTTGTTGTTCATTCATGTTATTAAGGGTGAATGTCAGAATCAATGGTGACATAGTTAATTCCTGTCTCAACCAACTCTGTGCACTGGTTTACAGTGGATGGTAACTGGGGTCCATGGCAACCTTGGAGCACATGTTCTGCATCTTGTGGAAGGGGCAAGCAGACACGTTCACGTCTGTGCAACAACCCATCCCCATCTGACAGTGGACGTCCTTGCCCTGGAGACAGCTCACAGATATCCAGGTGTAACATCCTAACTTGTCCAGGTAGGCAAACCCAAGACTCACAATTGCAGAGAAACAAACAAGAAAGGGAAAAAATACTGTTCATTCAACAGTATCTGGCTTAGGACATTCTGCCATGCAGAGGTGTCTTGAATCAAAGGTACCATTGCACAATAATCTGATAATTGTTTTTCAAGAGACTTCTCTTACTCTTTCTTCATTATTTATTTAATTTATTAGTTATGCTTCACCTTTCCCCTTGTGGCTCAAGGCAGCTAACAATTCGAAGGCTAAAACAATACAAATGTACAGTAAACACCCTATTATTTGTTCATTCCCATCATCAGATATGAGTCAGAATGGGGATCCCTGAGTCCTTCTATCCCAGTCAGAAGGTGGGAGGAGTCTTGCAAAGAAGGAACTCAGGATACAGAGGTACAAGGCACATAGTTATCAGTTTGATTAGAGCAGAGGGGAAATGCTCAGGGATTTGGTTGTTAATCCTAAGCCGGGTTCCATCTCCTCCCTGCCTGCCATACAGAGCAGCTGGCTGTGTTGAGAGGAGGAGCGACTCTTTCAGCCTGTGAGGATGGGCACTGCTGATGGGGAAAGGGAAGATAAGTACATACATTGTTGCTACCACCATAGATTGGTGCATGCGCTACTGCCTCTGCTGCAGAAGTGGTGGATGGGGAAATGCATTGCTGCCATTGAGGAGGATGTGGGTGCCTCACGGCTGCTGTGCATATGTCAGGTGCAAGGAGCCCCCCAGCTAGCAGTGGGGCCTGCGGGTCCCCCAACTGGCTTGACTCTTTGAAACCCTGGAACACCACTAACAGAATAAATAGACAGTACTGGCCAGGATAGATCATTTCGAGGGGCCTCGCATCTTTAAAGCAGGGGAAGCTCAGCAATGCTGCAGCAAACTCCCATTTTTGGTGTTCTGAGCATATTCTTGATGTTGGCCTTTCTAAAAGTAAACAAATAAATCTCAGGAAGAGTCTGTTAGTTGATTCTTACCAGTTCGTCCTCTCAGAGAGCCTCTGCCTGTCAGTGGAGATACGACAGGGCTGGAGGACCGATGGTCTGATTCTGTATAAGACAGCTTCATAGATTATTCCATTACGAATTTGGAAATGGCAGATTTCTGCAAATGAATACAGCCATTCATCATTTGGGAAGGCTGGAAATTGTTAAAAATGCAGTGTGATGCAAGGGAAGTTACTTGTAGTTCTCTGAACCTGAAAGTGTACAAATATGTAGAAATCTGATTAAATGTTGTGAAAACATTTTTTTAAAGCACACACATAGAGATGTCTGTGCTGTTTGCAACACTTGCTATATTTTAAGTTGTTATTTCCTTAAATGTGGCACCGGAACACAGAGGTCTGATGTGTCAGTATGATTAATATACTCTGGTGTTTCTGGCCAGGAGCCTAACCAAATAACTGCATAGTGCCTGCCTGAATTCCCCAAGTAGTTTGTTCTGTTTCTTTTTTCTGTGATCATTTGTTGTGTTAACGTGGTTTGTGGAGTTAAGCAATAATTGCTCTTTTCACTCAGAGGACTCTTCATCTGATAAAACAGTTCTGGGTATGTCTCTGGGGATATGTGTCCTGGGATAAGCCTGATAACGTTATCATTTAGGTGTGCTGTTTCATGTTATGTTTTGTTAATCAGAGAAGGCCCTGTGATCACATTACAGCTCTGAGTGTGAGCAATAACACCTTTTCCCCTTCGAAATATTGCAAACTAAGAGTTTTTACAGATCCCCTCCTTCCCTGGCAATAGGTGGGCCTCCACGCGCTAGAGGAAGTGTCATTGGCAATATTAACGATGTTGAGTTTGGAATAGCTTTCCTGAACGCCACCATAATAGATCATCCAGATCTGGACACACAAAGAATACAAGCCAAGATTACAAATATTCCTCGAAGCCTTGGTAAGTCTGTTTCTTTGGTACTTAAAGGGTTTTTTTTAGGTTTGTCAAACTTCCACACATTTATTCAATTGAAATAGTAATTTAGTGTTGGTAAGAACGGTCCATATTAAACCACCGTGCGCCACCTTTTGTGTTTATTTTGTGGGCACATCCTTACAAGCTCCTCTTATGTCTGAACATGACATACAAATTAGTTGTCTGAATGGCAAGACATATACTTGTCCAGAAATAAGACCAATGAAATATGAGATTGAGTTTGTATGATGTGATAGTCATGGTGCATGTCAATTTTTCAAAGAGGGTATGATGAACATGAATGCTGTCATATTCTAGAATGGCAGTAAGGAAACCTAGAGAGTAGATAGACTTTTCTTCAGAAAACTGATTTATGATTTGCACTGCAGGTGTCATAAAAATATTTGATTGGTTGCTGTTGGTAACTGTCACAATCCTCACTCATCAGAGCCTGATGGAGCACAGCCCTGGCCTTTATGTGAGACGTCTGCTAGATGCTACCAAGCCCCACCACCTCAGTAGAGCAAATGCTTTCCTTATCACAGGCTGTGTCTATTAGGTATTGAGACGAGGCAGCTCTTTTCACAGTAACATTGAACTTCCAAACCAAAGACACAGACTCAACAGGAACCAATTTATATTCGTAGAAACCACGGCTACCTTAAACAACAACCAATACCAAGTAGGCAGCTAGGATCCTTCATTTGCATGAACCATATGCAAAGTAACTATTGAGAGTGCAGCTATTGGATTATAAGCAACAAATATGATTGGCCGTTACCGGCAACACAACCAATAGCCTTGAAGGCCTTTGGAGCCTTCGCTCAGACCCAAGCTCCATCAGTACATAACAGTGTCCATAGTAGCAGATGTTGCCTCACACCTCTCCCTTGTATTCAAAGGCCTTGGCTTGGGTGATCAAAACCCCTGCTTCTTCTCCTTCTCTCAGTGCCTCTTCCCCCACTGTGCCAGTTGAAGGCATTTGAGGAGACTCCCTTCTCCCTGGAGAGTAGCCAGGGAGTGCCCGTGGTTGCACCTACCAATCTACTCCTGGATGCCTCGGGAGCAGCTGGGATGGTTTCTCTGAGGCTCTTGGAGGCTGCATGCCATAGTAACAAAAGAGGAAGTTTATAAAAATGTCACGTGATGATCTAAACCACCTTAGAGACATTCTGGAAGGCAAAATTGAAGGATATCACCAAAAATAGTTATTTTGCTTTTATGCTTATCCTTTTGGCCCTCCAGGTCCAGTGATGAAAGCACTAGTTTCTATTGTAAGTCCTATTTATTGGACCACTGCCAAGGAAATTGGAGAGGCCTTGAATGGGTTTTCACTTACCAATGCTGTTTTCAAGAGAGAGACACAAGTGGAATTTGCAACAGGTTAGTCAAAACTGAGATACAGGTTTCTACTTTGCATGGCTAATGAACAAGGTTTGTTCAAAACTATTTACTACATATTGAGTTTGGGTTCTGGAGCGGATCAGAAGGGGCAGGGGTAGTGGAGTAAAGATCACACCTTTCTATTACTTCTGGAGCGGATCAGAAGGGGCAGGGGTAGTGGAGTAAAGATCACACCTATCTATTACTTCTGAGCACCACTGACTGCAAGAGCACCAGGAAATAGATTTTTAAAACACAACTTCAACATTTTTTTGGGGGGGTGAAAGTCTTGTAACCACTGTCACTTGTCCACTCCAAGAGGGTGACTATAAAGAAGTCTAAACGAAAATTTAAATAGTTTGTTGCTTAATTAATTTCAAATCTAGGGCTGCTGATGGAAAATCTGCGTGACCAATTAGAACTATTCTTACAATTCACAGGGGAAATTTTACGAATGACTCACATTGCTCGCGGCTTGGACCCAGACGGTTCTTTGCTCTTAGACGTTGTTGTCAGTGGCTATGTACTACAGCTACAGTCTTCAGCTGAAGTTAATGTAAAGGTAAATCACTTAAAGAAATTGATGCAATCCTAAACCTTTCATATAGTTAGTGAACTTGAGTGGCTGGCATTATATCCTGGTCCTATAAGAGAAGTCATATAAGGGGCAGAAGTACTGGAGGCATGAACTTGATATAGAATTACACTGTTAGTGCATTATATGACACACATGATACGTGATACCACTTTTGTAGGCATTTAAGAGCTCCTGTAGGTAAGGTCCTCTTTGATGATTGTTGACTCAGTTGGTCATGATTCGGCTCTAGCCATTTAAATTGCCTTCTTTGCACCATGCTGATACCCTTGTTTCTTTCTCTTACTCTTAACACTTCCATTTCTGAAAAGCCCTTTTCTTTTCTTCTGCCACTGCAGAAAGTTATGGGTTGCCTCCATTTTGAGCATAGTCCTCTGCTTCCCAAAGGGAGTGCTTTCAGCTGCCAGCCAAATGGATTAATGTCACAACTTTGCCTGCAGAACAGATTTAGAGTCCAGTGGCACCTTTAAGACCAACAAAGTTGTATTCAAGGTATGAGCTTTCATGTGTACACACACTTTCAGATTTCGTGTGTGTGCACACAAAAACTCATCCTTTCAATAAAACTTTGTTGGTCTTAAAGGTGCCACTGGACTCTAAATCTTTTCTACTGCTTCAGACCAACATGGCTGACCACCTGGATCTAACTTTGCCTGCAGTTTAAGAGGTAGTTTGGGGGTCATGTAGCACAGGCAGTGAGTTAATCTTAAGTATCCTGTCATTCCATTCTGTGAGTCCACATTGCGTTTGCTGGATAGAGATGGTGGGAATCTGGGACCCAGTAATCTCCAGGGCTATTTTTGGGCAGGAAT